GAATACGTTGCCAGAGTTGTTCCTCATTTTCTACAGGTTCCCTGTAAACTGTGGATTTCAGATGTCCCCATAAAAAGTAATCCATCGGTGTTAAGTCTGGGGAACGTGGTGACCAGTTTACAGGTGCGTTATTACCTCTGCCTATCCATTTGTGTGGATATTGTTCATTCAAGTGGTTTCTAACGTTTAAAGAAAAATGTGGTGGAGATCCATCTTGCATAAACCACATATCTCTCCGAAGTTGGAGAGGTAAATCTTCTAACAATTCTGGCAACGTATTTTGTAGAAAATCCAAATAATTTTCTCCAGTTAATCTTCGTGGAAGTATGACAGGACCAACAATGAAATTACCAATTATTCCAGCCCACACATTAATTTTGAATTCGTGCGGAAAATGGTTTACCTTTATTGCATGCGGATTTTCAACAGCATAAACATGTTCATTATGGGTATTAGTTATACCCCTTCTTGTAAAACCCGCTTCATCGGTAAAGAGAATCTTCTTGACAAAGTTTGGATCTCTTTCTCTTTGCATATTAACAAATCGACAAAAACCCAAACGAATTTGAGGATCATGGACTAATAATTCTTGTACTGGCTGCTTATGGTATGGATAAAGCAATTGTTCTCTAAGCACTTTATGAACGACATCTTTATTTACTCCTAGTTCCCTTCCAATTCGTCTGGTGCTTAATTCTGGATCGTCTTTAACACGGTCTCCCGAAGACGTCTCTCAACAACAGCAAAAGTTGGGTGGCTAGGTACACGACGATTTGGAAACCTTTCAGAGTACACCCTGACACTCTCTCGAGCATTTCCTTCACAAAATCCTAATGTCAGTAACATATCGGTATATTCTGCATTGGTATATTGTACAGCCATATTAATAAACCACGCATTTGTTTTTTTAATTATTGAGTCAGATAGAACACTTTCAATCGTTAACAAGAGATTAGGTGTTAAAACTTGACAATATTTTTTTTATTTAGATGAAACTATGGAAACCAACAATAAATGTTTTTGTATACGTATTGCAGGCAAATAATTAATATTCCTCAAAAAATTGTACATGGCAAGAATCGAGTATTTTTGTTAAAAGTCTCGATTAGAGGTGTTGAAGAAGAAATGAAAAAAGTACATTTTTATGTTTTTCATCGTATAAAATTTGGTCCGATAATAATACATAGGCGTAGAACTTGATTTTTTAAATAATTGCACCTTTAAAAATTCTACGCCAATGGCAAAAAAGGGGTTTGAGTATGAAATTTGGATTGGGTACTCATTTAATACAAAAAAGTACCCCTAATAACACTCGATTTACTCTCACGGTTTTGACAAAGTTTGTATTTTAATAATTATTGTTTATGTTCTAAAATTACTAAAATGCAAATTTCGTCAAAACCATGAGAGTAATCGAGTCTTATCAAGAGTACCTTTTTTAAAGTAAATGAGTTGTGCAATCTAAATTTTATACTCAAACTCCTTTTCTTCCATTGGCGTAGAATTTTTAAAGGTGCAATTATTTAAAAAATCAAGTTCTACGCCTATGTATTATTACCGGACAAAATTTTAATACCATTTTTTTTGCCACCTAAAACTCTACCAACATACCAAATTTCAGCAAAATCGCATATATGCTGTGTTAAATTTATATGGGAAAAACGATTTAAAAATTGTAACTTCAAGGCCCTCTGGAGCCCAAACGAAGCAACTTTGTACTAAGGTAATTTTACTTAAATCGACTTATTTTGGTCTAAGGAATATGCGGTGTTTTTGTAAAGACCTCTTACAGACACCCTGTATAATATATATAAAAATTTTGTCATGATTAATCAGTTTGTTTTATAATATAAAAAAAATTTAAACTTGCTCTATAAATTTGACTATCACTTCTTAATCTCAGGGTCCGTAGGTTAAAAAAAATACAATATTTTGGATTTCAATAAAGAAGTGGAAAATTCTTACCTCCAAATTCAAATGACAACGTTTGGTGGTTTACAAAAAAAAAATAATTCTGAAACTAAAAAAGTCAAAAGTGTATTTATTAAATCTTCATATATGCTATAGACCATCTGTTTTTCATTGTTTGAAATAATTTTCCGCTTTCGTTGTTAATTACTTGGACCCGCCTGCATCCATCTTAATGCTGTTAAGATAAAAACCATCAATCATACACCTGCTACCATTAGTCCACTCAAATTAAACTAAGAGAAAAAAATGTTAATAGGACTTTAATATGAAACGTAGCGCTTTAAAATTTAAAACTAACGACTAAAAAAAAATGTATTTGTCGGAATCTTATTCATTCTACTTAAATGTTTGAAGCAATATTATATTTACAAAAGGTTCTCTTTCTCTTTCTTGGATCCACCGGCTTCCTCTGCAACCTATTTGTACCTCACTGTTTATTTTCCTTTTCCCTTTGCACCCTCTAATCAGCTTCCGACCTGGTGTTCTACCTGATACTTTTCCCTTTAATGTTTTTAGTAAAATCGTTCCTTACTTTCCTTTTAAAATATTTTTCTTTTTGTTCCAAATGAAAATAAGCAATACATTGGTCATTTGTTACATCTTTATTTCCGTTCAATATATAATCTATAATCCTTCAATACATATCCAACATTTTATTTTTTTCTTTCAATTTTTACTTTCCTATCTGTATACAGATATAAGGAAAGTATAGGAATCATGATTTTTTTCGACCTCGAGTTTTCGACGGATTTTTACGTTTTGAGGTCCCCTGAATCCGTTTTGACTATTTTGGTGATGATGTGTGTGTGTGTGTGTGTGTGTGTGTGTGTGTGTGTGTGTGTGTGTGTGTGTGTGTGTGTGTGTGTGTGTGTGTGTGTGTGTGTGTGTGTGTGTGTGTGTGTGTGTGTGTGTGTGTGTGTGTGTGTGTGTGTGTGTGTGTGTGTGTGTGTGTGTGTGTGTGTGTGTGTGTGTGTGTGTGTGTGTGTGTGTGTGTGTGTGTGTGTGTGTGTGTGTGTGTGTGTGTGTGTGTGTGTGTGTGTGTGTGTGTGTGTGTGTGTGTGTGTGTGTGTGTGTGTGTGTGTGTGTGTGTGTGTGTGTGTGTGTGTGTGTGTGTGTGTGTGTGTGTGTGTGTGTGTGTGTGTGTGTGTGTGTGTGTGTGTGTGTGTGTGTGTGTGTGTGTGTGTGTGTGTGTGTGTGTGTGTGTGTGTGTGTGTGTGTGTGTGTGTGTGTGTGTGTGTGTGTGTGTGTGTGTGTGTGTGTGTGTGTGTGTGTGTGTGTGTGTGTGTGTGTGTGTGTGTGTGTGTGTGTGTGTGTGTGTGTGTGTGTGTGTGTGTGTGTGTGTGTGTGTGTGTGTGTGTGTGTGTGTGTGTGTGTGTGTGTGTGTGTGTGTGTGTGTGTGTGTGTGTGTGTGTGTGTGTGTGTGTGTGTGTGTGTGTGTGTGTGTGTGTGTGTGTGTGTGTGTGTGTGTGTGTGTGTGTGTGTGTGTGTGTGTGTGTGTGTGTGTGTGTGTGTGTGTGTGTGTGTGTGTGTGTGTGTGTGTGTGTGTGTGTGTGTGTGTGTGTGTGTGTGTGTGTGTTAGTGCGTGCGTGCGTGCGTGCGTGCGTGCGTGCGTGCGTGCGTGCGTGCGTGCGTGCGTGCGTGTGTGTGTGTGTGTGTGTCGCATAACTCATGAACCGATAAACAGAAAAACACCAAATTTTAGATCAAACCAGGCTTTTAACAGCTGCATTCCAAGAATGCTTAGATTAGCTAACTTGCACAATGATCTCAGGCTGTTCAATATTCCATTTTCATCATTCAAAACTCAATTACGTAATACTGAGCTTTAATGTTTTACTGTGTGTTTTCTCTATTTTAACCTTCGACTAACCTATGTTATTATTTTATTATTTTAAATGTTTCTAGTTTGCATGACATGTATGATGTCTTTGTGCAACAGCACCATAACTATTTGTGATATTTTAATTAATTTTTATAATTGTAATTTGTAATTGTAATTGAAATTTGACAAAATGTGCAAAATTCTGATTTTTATGAAAATTGTTGAACTAAAAGTTGTTTGCGATGTCGATCTCTATAATTTTTGTTTGTACATAATTTTTCTAAAATGGACCGTAATGGAAAAATTGTAGGAAAATTGCTAAATTTAAATTTTTCAGTATTTTCGTTTTCAATGAATATCTATAGAAAAATGTTTCGAGGTAGATGTATGTGAAAAATGTATGTATTTAGTTTATCCTCTAAACATTTATAGAGGTGCTGCAATAGGTTGTACAAAATAACCGGAAAAAGCCTGTAATAACTAGATAGGAAAGGCTGTTGGACACATCTGACAACCTTCTAAAATTTTTATGACAATCCTACTCAATTGACATCCTGAATTTTTTAAATTTTTTTTTGGGGTGCAACTGATCCTACCTATTTAAAAAATGGTTAATCAGGGTTATAATTATTTACATACCTTCAGAGATTACATTATTTCCATCACTTTTAAAATGCCTCCAAAAAAGAAATTTTTTTATAAATCAAAAATCCAAAGAGTAATGTCAATACAACACTGTCCACCTGTGCTCACTCAACAAGGCGATGACATAGCCAAGCGTGGCGAAGAACCAATTAGAACATAAGTGGAGCAAAATCATAGACTTACGATTGGATATCCCAGTCCACGTGTAGCGACATTTATTACGGGATATCGTGCACTACTACAAATAGAAATTTGAGAAAGGCTCGATTTAGCCAATAGGAGGACGCTAAAATTAAGCTGTACAACATTATTCTTATTTATGCCATACTAGCTCCGAATATATTTGCTTGAACGGTACTATGCGGTAAACGTACACAGTCGTTTAGCTGTATTGGAATTGAACGCATCACTACTTTTTTGCAGTTTGACAAATGTATTTTCTAAGTTTGAACGTCGGCGGTTTCTTTGTGAATTATATATAGATATATTAATAGTACTGATATTTAATTGTGGAATAGTAAAATGTATCTGTACTGTCCACTATACCTATTATTTTTTCCAGACAAAAGGAAATAGCTGCGTTCGTCGATTAGTCCTCTTCACGTCTGACCAAAGTCACTATTCCATCACCAAATTGGCCTCTTTTCTTGGAATAGGATCCGGTAACGTTTATTCTATCAAATCGGACTGCAAAGGAAAGTTGGATGTCGCGCATCTGCGATCCGAAGTTGAACGAGTTCGATCTGAAGATGCAGTACCATTTATGGTTTGCGCTACTGCGGGTACTACCGTTTTTGGAGCATACGATCCGATAAATGAAATAGCAGATGTGTGCGAAGAGTACGACATGTGGTTGCACGTGGATGCCGCTTGGGGTGGAGGTGTTCTGATGTCTAGGAAGTATAGGCATTTAATGAAGGGAATTGAAAGGTGAGCTGAATTTTTTTTATTAATTTTAATTCACAATTTCTCTCTCGCACTTAATTGTAATTTACCGGGTATCCATTTAGTACCAGGGCCGGCCCTAGACATTTTGGCGCTCCAGGCAAAACCTTAATTTTGCACCCCCCCCGTTTTTTTTAAGTAAATCTCATGCGACCATATCAGAGAGTCAAGAAAACATTAAAAAAAAAAAATTAAAAAAACGATTTATTAAAAACTCAGTCATCAAATAACAAAATAAGCAATTTAGCACTTAAGGCAAAATAACAAAAATTAAAATGTAGTAATGCTAACTAAACTAATATCCCATATTATAAATAAATTCTAACTAACTAAAGTAATTAAAATGCCTTTTTTCTAACTTTCTTTCGGCAAACTCACGAACCAGTGATTTCAAGTCTAATTTGTCACTAATTTGGTGTTCTATAGTTATCATTGCCAATCCATTGAGACGATTTTGCGTCTGCATCGTTCTGAGATAATTTTTTATTATTTTTGGTTTTGAAAAGCTTTTTTCCTCTGAAGCCACAGTGACTGGCAATGTAAGTAGGATTCTTAATGCTATGCTGAGGTTTGGTGCGAATTTAAGTGTAGCGAAGAACTTCAACAGGGGTTTCCTTTTTTGTTAATAATGACGAAACAATGCTTATTTCGTCGGTTAGTTCCAGGGCGTTAAGATCGCTGAAATTTCCATCAGTTAAAACTACTTCCAAATCTTTGCAATAAGCCAGTAGCTCATTTCTGGGCATGTCTTTTAGACCAAAAATATTATACAAAAAGCTGAAATAATTACTGTATTTAGCAAATTATATCTGGTTTCCAAGGCATTTATTGCTTGATCTATAGTGTGAATAAAAATCTATTTTATATTTTATATTTTTGTACCAGATCACAACAGAGCATATAAATTTAAACTGCTTCAAATTATTTAATAATCCGCTAGCCTCGTCTCTGATCATATTATTGATTTTTGAATATTGATATAGGCTGTACAGAGCATCGTAAATTGGACCAATTTGAAACCGCAGAGTTCTTAATGAGTCGACTCGACTTTCCCATCGCGTATCACTCAATGGTTTAAGGGTGTAAGTATCAATATATTTCAGTAATATTGCCCAACGAAAAGAAAAGCAAGAAAAAAATGTATATAACTTCTGAATAATATTGAAGAAGTTGGCTGCCTCAAACGAGGATTTTGCCATATCGTTTACAACCAAATTTAGCGAATGACTGCTGCATGGAACATAAAATGCTCTGGGGTTTATATTTCTGATTCTTGTTTGTACTCCCGATTTTTCTCCTCTCATATTGGAACCATTGTCATACCCTTGACCGCGCATGTTTTCTACTTTTAGCCTATTTTTCTCTAGCTCATTTAGTAAAACCTCCGACAATTCCTTAGCTGTTGATCTCTCAATGGGTAGAAAACCCAAAAAATGTTCGTTGATATTAACTTGAACTTCAAACTCTCATTCCTGTATGGAGACAAATCTTACCACATATGTCATTTGTTCTACTTTACTTGCATCGAGAGTACATTTAAGAATCACGGAATAATACTAGGCCTTTTGAACTTGCTCAATGATGTGGTGCTTTATGTTGTCATGCAATAATTCAATTATTCATTTTGTATAATTTTCCCTAGATATGTAGTTTTGATTTCTTCTTTATTGAGAACGTGTTCCTCCATTTTTAGATCAAACTCAGCCAATAACTTAATTAACTTCAAACAGTTTATCGCTTGTTTCTCAAAAAGCCAGAAAGCTTTCACCTAGCATTTTAACGACTGATATAATGCATAAAAGAGCTTCGGACCAGTGATTTATCTCAGAATCAATGAGTCTCTGAGAAACTGCATCTATTGTTTCTTTAATCTTTGCTTCAATTCAAACAATCTATATGCGTTTTAGCATTTTCATGATGTGCTAAAGAGTCCCTTAAATGCTTCCAGTCTTTAAATCCCCGATTGCCAAGAGCGCTCAAGCTAGATGGTGCAACAAAAATTCGACATGGAAAACAGTACAAAGCGTTTTGAAATACGGAATATACCATCCATTCTCTTAAAACCTCTTCTCCATTTCTAAGCCTTTTCTTGTAATATTTTGGTGAGAATCTTCTATGCTGATCATCAATAGGAAAATCAAAATTATACAAAGGTGCAGCTGGACCACGTTTAACCAAAAAAACTCTATCTGCTGCACGCATGATTTCGAGCTATAATCCTGGGTCAGAAGAGATACTTTGGACGGTAGTCTTTTCTAAATGTTTCTCTGAGGTCTGCACAACTTGCGAATTTTGATTTTTGGAACTGCACGAAACTACATCACTACTCGCCAAACTCGTTTGAGATGACATACTCAGCTCAGTAATGCTGACGGTTGCGTCCAAAGGGGGGTCCATATCCGGAAAGTTAGTATCTAGGTGCTGGGCGTTGTTCAAATGTTGGTCGGTTGTGGGCGCGTTGAAACTACCTTTTTTCAAGAAGTTATGCAGCGCATCTGACTGTTTTTGAAGCTGTTTAATCTCTGCTTTTTAAATTCGCTCCCAGAGGGTTTTCTCTTAGCATCGGACATTTTGGTTTCTGGAACAAATTAATTAAAATAAAAGATAATACTGATATCAAAAAAAGCCATGATTTGATTTAAATTATAATTTCTGAAATCCCCCCCTTGTGCACCACTGGCTTAAAAAAATGTATTTTATTCAACTTCAGACTCAATTACCTTTCATTCGATACTACACAAGCCATGATTTGATTTAAACTCTAATTTTCGAAATCCCCCTTATGCGTCACTGACTTAAAAAAAATGTATTTCATTCAACTCCAGACTCAATTACCTTTCATTTGATACCACACAAGCCATTTTTTGATATAAACTCTAATTTTTGAAATCCCCTCTTGTGCGCCACTGGCTTAAAAAAAAAATGCATTTTATTCAACTCAATACTCAATTACCTTTCATTTGATACCACACAAGCCATGTTTTGATCTAAACTCTAATTTTTGAAATCTACCCCCAGCCTTTTTTGGGCTTATGTCTGATGGATTTTTTTAGTTTTTAACCTGTAACTGGTGACGTGAAATATTTTAGCACTGTTGGTGGCATGGTAGGGCTTCAGGAATTTTTACCTGGGTTATAAATATTTTTCACAATTATATATTATTATTATTATCATTATTATATATTAAAAATAATAATGCAAAAGAATGAACATTTGTAGTAAAAAAAAACTAACTTAAATTAAATCCTATTATTTATAAAAAAAATAACTGATAGAGTGTAAAAAAAGTGTTTCTACAAAGATTAATACCTAACAAATACAACTGTATATAATAGTTGCGTTTAGTTACAAAATGACACCAAAACTACAAGTCTCTAAATTAGTCATTTTTTGTAAGACATTCTCGGCACACTTTTTTGGCGCATTTTAAGCAAATAGGTTTTTTGCATTGAAAACACTGGTATTTCGTTTTCCGATGCAGTCTGGATGGACATAAGTAACAATATTTTCTTTTTTCCAAAGTTTCCTCAACTTCTTCACTTTCTGGAATATTTAGAACACGGCCGATTCCTTTACGAACGTCAGTTGAAATTCTCTTATTCAAATACCTACGTTCCAAATGCGGCCTTACAAGTTCCATGGCAAGTTGTTTCATAAAATCTAGACATGTAATCTGAAGGTTTCCTTTATAGGTCTGAAACATTATAAATGCATTTACTGTGCTCATATCTAGTATTTGAAAAAATACCGCCTTTGGCCAACGCTGGGTTCGGCGCGATGAGCTATACACTGCACATTTCTCATCTAATGAGTCCACGCCTCCCTTTGTACTATTATAAAAGTCTATTATTTCTGGCTTTTCATTTATTGACAATTTAGAGTGATGCATGGATGATACTAATACGACGGCTTTACCTTTTTTAGTCACAAAAGATATAATAGTAATGTCTTTAGTGAAACCATATAAACACGAACCAACTTCTCGTTTTCTGTTTGGTAAAAAACATGGTGGTATTTCCTTTTTATTTTTTCGTAGTGTGCCTACGTATGTGAGTTTCATAGATTTTAGCTTTTCTATTAATTCAATCGAACTAAACCAATTATTGGCGGTAATATTTCTATTAGTGGCTTCAATTGGTTTTGCAAGCCTGATTACTGACTGAGTAGGTATTTTTAGTTTATTTTCTTCATTGTTTAAGCCCATGCTATCAGAACCTTTTCCGGTATAAATGTAACCATTATAAGCAAAACCGCTTCGAGCATCTGTAACATTACCTTTAAACCGTATTTCACTGGTTTTTGCGGCATATACATTTTAAATCTGCAGCGTCCCCTAAAGCCAATAAGCATCTCATCTATAGTAGTGTTTTCTCCTACAGTATACATCGATTGACAGTTTTGAAAAAACATGGTAAATAACTCACTAATTGCAGCAGCTGGATGTGATAATGCTCTCATAATCCTGTCTTCGGGATTGTCAAACCTGAGGCATGCGAGTAATACGGAAAATCTTTTTTCACTCATAACCAATCTAAAAATCTCTCTTCCCGTTCCGTCCCTAGCAAATAAAGCTGAGATATGTTCATGATTAGACTTAAAAGCCGAACTAAATACTAGAAGACCCAAAAAAGCTTTCATCTCAACATAGTCCACATCCTTTAGTTCTGGTTTATCTTTTCTTTTGTAGCCCTCTGCCATAGTTCGTAGTTTTACATTAGTCCATTGCACAATGCGATTTATCATATCGTCACTGAACAACAAGTTCCAAACTTTTTGAGAATTATTGTATTCCTGAATTTTTGCCGGTTGCCGTAAGCCTGGCAAATGAACGATTAAATTGTGTGAAGGGGTTCTAACATGCCTTGTAGGTTCTTCACGCGACCATTTATACCTATTTTTACTTGACTTTGATGTGTCGCTATTTCGCGGTTCTTCAAACACTTCTTCCAACTCTTCTTCTAACTCTTCTTCCAGTCCCTCTTCCA